TCCTCCTGCTCCAGCACGAACATGTGGTGGTTGAAGAACTGTTGCAGCTTCTCGTTGGTGAAGTTGATGCACAGCTGCTCCAGGCTGTTGAACTAAATAAATACATGTGTTCACTTTTCTCTTGAGCAAATTGAGCATTTGTAAATGTAGGACTTTTTAATTTAAAAATATATGTTGAATAGCCTTTAGATTACAGATATCAAAATCATGAGGGGGGAGCACTATGAAATCTACTGTTTTCTCTGTTGCCATTTTATTACAGAATCCTAGATCGTATTAATGCTCTTTACCTGCACTGGCTTAAGCTTACTCAGGGATTTTTCTGAGTTCCTACTTCATCATTTCATGTTTATTCCATTATCTTTTCCATTTTCCATGGACTCAATTAAGAGCTAATGGGCAACCCATTAGGAGCTGGCTGGGAGGGGTCTCTGTAGTATGGAAATCACCAGTGTCAGCTTTATAAGTGGACAATAATTGACACTGTTGTTCTTCTTCAATGTGAAATGAAAACAAAATCAAGATACCAAATATGATATACAGTGTGATAACACACTTGTGTTAAAAACAAAAGCCAAACGCCAAAATGTTAACATTAGCTTGATATAAATAGTGGAATTAACAGGGAACTCTTTCCCTTGATTTTGCGTATTTCCTGCAATGTCCAAGTTTTGCTTTTATAATTAGAAAGAAAAAGATAAACTTCTTAAAAGCTATAAGCAGGAAAACTGTATTTCATCAAATGGGATTTTTATCTCATCCCATTAATGAGAATAAATGCTGACTTTATAAGTTACTAATCTTTGCTCTTCTTGTCTAAGTGTTTTTGAATGACTTCCCCACCATATATTCAGAATATGCTGTATGTTTCACAGGATTACTTTGATATTTTTATGTTAACTTCATTTGGTGCTGTGGGATTTTTAGAGGGCCCCCCACCCGCCAGACACTAAGCTAGCTCTTAACTCCCTTTGGGTCCCGTACGTAGCAAGTCAGAGTGCTCATCAAGTACATGATTTCTCATAGAGTGGGGACTGCCACTGCGATAAATGCTTAGTAGTTACTCCATCATTCTCTTTTAAGTTTCAGCATAACTTTTTGGGAGTAGTGAGAGAAGGTTATAATATTCACAGATTTCTTCTTATTGATGTTTCTATTACCTTACTGTAAAATCCCCTTACCAACCAGCTACCAACTCACATCAAAGATCTCAAAGCCGGCGATGTCCAAGACCCCGATGAAGTACTGTCTGGGCTGCTTGGTGTCCAGCTGCTGGTTGATGCGGGTGACCATCCACAGGAACATCTTGTCGTAGATGGCTTTGGCCAGAGCGCCCACAGCGTTGGTCACCTTGAAAAACAAAAATATATCTCTTGAGGTTATCAGAGGACTGCAGAAATGCTTGATTCCTGCCAGTGAATTTGAATTATGCACCTACCTGCTCTACAGTCTGGCCTTTGGTGACGTACTCATTGCCGACCTTGACCCTGGGGTAGCAGAGGGCTTTGAGCAGGTCAGCAGAGTTCAGACTCTGGAGATAGGCCGCCTTGTCAGCAACTGAAAGGAAGAAAGGATAAAGCAATGTTATTATGGCCCAGAGCAACCCATTTTCTCAAAAAAAATTTTTTTAAGCTACAGACATTTTGTGCAGTGTTTTCAGAATATCTCTTTGAGCATTCTTTCCCCCTTTTTTCCCCCACTAAGTTCAAGATTTTCATTATGGGTGGTGTGCCCTAAAGAACTTCATAGATGATAGGAAACATCTAACTAATATGATGCTTCACATAGTATATTATCTGGGTATACTTTAAAACTCAATTCTTAAAAATGACTTTGTCTTTCTAGAAAAACTCAAGTAACAAGTTAAGAATGTGATTTTCAAACAAACAAAAAGTCAGGGATGACTTAGTTGGTACCTTCAGTGCCATCTGGCTCAGCCTGCTCCTCCCGCTGCTTCTGCTTGAACTTCAAGTTCCCATAATGCATCACAGCCCCTGTGAGCTTGTAGATGGAGACTTTCTCTTCATTAGTGAAGCCCAAAATATCAATAGCACTCTGCCAATATAACCAAGAGGATAACTGTTACGTTACGATCCATACATTTACTATTCATCATTCACATTCTGATTCCTGATATGTTGGTTAAACTGAGGAAACTATCTTTGCTGATGGGGGCGCAAGGAACTCTTTAGAGGCCAGCACTGAGCATTAGAACTATAGGTACAGACCCTCTAAGATTGAAAAAGTAAACTTAAGATAGAGAACAAGATAGTAAACTTAAGGAACTTGTTATTTTGAGAAGTGGTATGGATCTCATTCATGTAGATTACAAAAAAGTTGTTTAGATAAATTCAGAAATGATAGACCTTTGAAAGATTGTAAGGGAAAGTCAAGTGTTGTAGGACACATCTTTTTTGGCTGACTCTAGGTGGCATATCTGTGCTCATCTTTGAACCCTCTCTTGCTATTTCTACTAGAAACTGAATATTTATCTGGAGGGACCATTGTTCTAACCCAACATCATCATTCTTGTGTTGCACTTACATCTGTTGCCATCAGCTCTTCTTGATCATCAATGCTAGCCACACTGATCTCCCCTTGACTGACAAATGGGTAGTCATATGGGTTGGTGGTGATCAGAAGCATTTCTAAGTACATGAAACAGAGTAAAGGTAAGCAGAATTATCCCCTTCATTAAAACAAGAGATGGCTAGACAAATTCTAAGACACTTTATGAAGCCAAAGAAGATTATCATACTGGGAAAAGTTATATTTACAAGAATGATCAGTATAGTGCTATTTAAAATCCAGGATTGGAAACAACCTAAATATTCTTAAAAAAGTATGGTTAAATAAATTAAGCTTATCTCTAGAGTATAACACGATGCAACCATTAGAAATAATAATGTGGAGCTACAGTTGGTGACATGGAAAAAACCACGATACATTAATCCTCAATGAAAAAAGTACATCACAGAGGAACATTGAAGTATGATTCCAGTTATCATATGTATGAGTATAAGTACAGAAAATGAGTAGAATGATATTCACCCAAGTGTTCACAGTGGTTATTTCATAGTGATAGGATTTGAAGCTGTTATCTTCAGTTTTCATTTTTGATTTCTATAATAAGCACACATAAACTTACGAAGCTACTTTCAAAATCAAGGTGGTAAACCTGACAAAATTCAGTCATGGAATACTAGGCTGGACTGTGCACGGAGAGGTGCTGGTGTAATCATTCTGGAAAGGGATTATGACATTTCTTACCAATTAGTTCTGGTTTCTTGTTCGATGTGATCTGATAAAAAATATGATAGCTCCTTTCCGCCTTAAGCTGGAAAGTAACTCTAGACTTCTCTAGCAGATCTGGAAGGAAACAATGAACAGAACAATGTAAAAATTCACGTGGGTTGCAGATTTTACTTTGGGTTGACTTTATAAGTTATAGGAAACAGAAATGACTATAAATGAGATCCAAGCACTCACATGTTTCAATATCAGCAGAAGCCAGCTTCCCTGTGGTGCCAAAGTGGATTCTGATGAATTTACCCTTGAAAGGAAAACTAATATTACTACTTGGTTTTCAAATCATATCAAATCTTTGAGAAACTCAAAATACTTGGATTGCCTAATGGGTTGATATTAAATAAATCCAGAGACTATTTGTATGAGGCAGAAAAGGTGTATCTCCTATTTTTTTAAGTAAAAGAATTTTATCTTTGATTTTCATATTATAAATAATCATAGGTAATGACAAATGAGAAATAACTCAGATATAGGGTCACATATCTTTTTAGATGGGACTCGGATCCATATTATTACATGCTCAGAGGGAAAGGAGAGAGCCCGATGCAGTATAATGTGAACAAAAAGATTCAGAGGAGTATATTCACAAACAACCCATACACCTTGACCAGTGAACAGTGTCCGTACCAGTGTCTGCAACTTACAAAGCGAGAGGAGTTGTCATTCCTCACGGTCTTGGCGTTGCCAAAGGCCTCCAGTAGGGGGTTGGCGCTGATGATTTGATCTTCAAGGGTCCCCTGCAAAGGCAAGAGCGGTCCTCACCTCTGGGGCTCCAGACTTCCCAAGAACCGTGAGAGTCTTGAGTCTGGCCCCAGACCCACCTGCATTTTGCCAGAGGTAGCTTCCTCCTTCTTCTTCTCCCCAGTGACTGCAATTGTTGCAAAGTACTGGATGACACGCTTGGTGTTCACGGTCTTCCCTGCACCAGATTCTCCGCTGTCAAATAAAAACTAAGTGAGATGAGGTTCCAGACGTGGCAACTATCGCAGCCATAAGAAAGTATAAAATTTACTCACGTGATCAGGATTGACTGATTCTCTCGGTCTACAAAAGAGAAATCATAAACATTTAATACTGGTTTTTTTTGGTATATTTGTAAATAGTAAAGTAAAATGGGATAAATTTAGTATTTTTCAGACTGGACTTTGCAAACCCTAGGGCTTCGTGGGCCCTCGACCACCAATCTTTTCCAATGCCCCTCCCATGCCCCCCACTACCTCCCCACACCACACCCCTGACTTCAGCACACTTGCATCCATTTAAATAGAACACTGGAACAAAGCAGCAGACCTTTTCTTTGTAATATTCTGTCACTAAGGAAATATCAAAAGTGGACTTGAGCCTTCGGGCGGGTTTAGATGACAATTCCAGTAGTGAATAGTGAATATTTGTTGTAGGTGTAAGAAGTCATGAAAATAGGTATTTTAGCATGTGGGATGGGGTAAATGTAGTACAGGTGGTAGCTTTGGAAGTAATCACGGCTTTAGTCATAGTTTGGGGAAAAGGTTGGTTTTACTGTTTTACTTTCTCTGAAGACGAATTCTCTAAGTCCTTTCCCCAACTAGCTTAGACTGGGCTGGCTGAGGCAGTATTCTAGGAAGAAGATTCATGGTATGGCTGTTTTAATACCAAATACACCTTAAAATCTGGAGCGTGTGGAGGTTGGCTCAGGGCAAAGGGCAATAGCATTTATGCCCTCCCTAATATAGAGAGGGCGTTCGTTGGTCATAGTTTCTGATGTTGAGGATAAGACCACAGGAGCAGATTTTACTCTTCTGGTTTTTGGCTCTTGGCAATGGAGGCACAGTTTGTATGTGTGATTGTGTGTGTGCATACACATAAACAGTGTTTATAATTTTTGCTCAAGCTTTTTTAGTTTCTGAGTCATTCAAAAGTAAATTCTCTAACTATGGCCAACCCCTATTGACATTTAAAAGTTGAAGAGACCGTGAGCAATTGTGTGATGGTAAGGATTGCAAGTCATCTTTTACACCCCTTCCTTCCTGGACCACCTCCCTCGCCAATACACCAGCCTAACAGAAGGGCTCAAAGAGCGTGTTGAGACAGTTAGGGTCTCTTTCTCCTATGGTTCCAAAAAGATTATGCACACACAAAACATTTAACTCACCTGTCAGCATGAACTGATAGGCGTTGTCGGAGATGGAGAAGATGTGGGGCGGGGCCTCCTGGCGCTTCTTGCCTCGGTAGGCACCCACCACCTCGGGGTTGTACACCGGCAGCCACTTGTAGGGGTTCACCGTGACGCAGAAGAGGCCCGAGTAGGTCTACGCAAGGGAATAAGAAAGAGCTTTTCCTGTTAGGTGTGCAATTCACTTGTTAAATGAATTCTGACTCAAAGGAGCACTTTAAGGAAGTACCCTACATTTCTTGAAGGCATCAGCATGAAAATTAGTTGGAACGTTCAACAGTGAGAGAGCAAAATCCTTGAGGGAAGGGCTCATAATTTTGACTTTTTATTGCTCCTCTTGGGACTTATCACAACGATTTTCACATAGTTGGAGCTCCAAAGGTATTTTTTTTTAATGTGTAGTGTGAGACATTTTTACTGTATTCTAGGAGATATGCCTGTATTTCCTTTGCAGCATTAAGATCATTCAAATGCATGAAAATAGAAGTTTGGACACAACTGAAGTGCCCAACGGTATGGAAGTGGTTTGGTGAACTGTGGTAAATCTTAAGACAGTATGATGCAGGCATGTAATAAGGTAAACCTGAAAGGATCCAGCAATCCTGGGACAACATTTGCAGACTACTATTAAGCTATAAAGACACAGAACACAAAATGATGTAAATACATTATGATTAAACAGGGAGCTTTTCAAAACAGGCACCGACCAGTCAGAAGGGATGCTGACCCTAATCACTAGAGACACCGGTGTGGGTGTTGTCCGGCTGAGCGTCAGCACTGGCTGAACTACATAAAAATGTCAATGTGAGGTAATAACTTCAATTCTAAGATGTTCACTGGGTGTGTATTATGTGCCAGACCCCTGCAGGGCACCTGCAATGAAGCGTGAATGAGATGCGTTCCTGGGGAAGCTCCCGGCCTACAGTCTATGCAGGAGGCAGACATGTGAATGGATGGTGGTGGACAACCAAGGTCAGTGCTGTGGATGGGACAGAGACCATAGGACAGGGCATCCCACTCTGCCTGGGGAAGGTGGGAGGTTTCCTCGAGGGGGTGGCATTCATATAGAGGGGACCATAACACAGAGGTACAAATTGCTGTCATTTTAGAAGACTGAAAATGAGTGAAATCTCATCTTTAAAACATTATCTTTTTGTGTTAAAGTGTAAATGTATCAGTTCCCTCTGGATGATTCTACAACTGGAATGGGAGGGGTGGGTAGAAATGTAGGCATGTGGCTGAGATATAAACAGTAGCTGCTCCAGTGTTTGCTCAGGGGACGTGTGGCAAACCCAATCCACGTGGACAATGACCTTGCCCGGCTTTGGATGGGAAGACAAAGGATGAAGTACTGGCTGTTGGGCTGTGCCTTACAACAGCAATAGTGAACCTTGTAACTTGTTAACTAACTAATGTACTAGCTAGTTAACATGTGTGCTGACTAGTTATACCACTAGTGAAAGCAAAATGGGTCACTGCTTTCGACCCATTTATACTACAGTGGAAGCGCCGGGCTGGCCGGTGCAGGGTGATGGCGATAAAGAGCACTTGGGTGAGGGAGGCACTCACGTAGATCATCCAGGCTGCGTAACGCTCCTTGAGGTTGTACAGCACAGCGGGCTCGTGCAGGTGGGTCATCATGGCCATGTCCTCGATCTTGTCGTACTTGGGAGGGTTCATGGGGAAGACTTGATCATCTTTCACTGTCAGAGTCTGGTAAACAGGGAAGATAACGGCTCATGTCAACTGAGAGATGGAACGCAAGAATTGATAAAATGTGGCCGGCTCCAGGGACTCTACTCACCGCTCCAGCTTCCGTCTTCACCGTCACTTTCCCTCCTTCTCTGCTCTGGATGGTCCCTTTCACAAAGGATTCTTTGGGCTCCACCACAAAGACAGATGTCTTGGCATCAAAGGGCCTATTCTGGGCCTCAATGCGCTCCTTTTCAGACTTTCGGAGGTACGGAGCTGCCTCCCCAAAAATGGCCATCTCCTGGTCTGAACTCATGGCTGCTGAACTCAGAGATCCTAAAGGAGATGAGGCATTTCACATTAGAGATGCGGACTGTCATGTGTATCAGTATCTCTCTCTATATTGGTGGTGATAGTTCATGGAAACTCCACTGTTTGGAAATTTCACCAGGCGGGCCCCCTGTGCGCCATGCTGTAATTACTGAAACAAACATAATCCCAAGGTCTCAGATGCATCAAGGGTCACTGTGTAACCAACACTGTACTCAGGGCTTGACATGCACTATTTTCTTTCAACCTCCGAGACCAGCATTCTAATCAGGGAGCTGGCTGTGGTCTCCGCTTGCTGCCGAGGAGCTGGTGACCCTTGATCTTTTCAAGCTACAGTGCCTCCCTCATAGAAGAGGGATTACAATATCTGCCTTTCTTAATTTACAGCCTGTGAGATACTGGACAGATACTTTGGGGACAAAGTTACTTGAAGACTGAGAAAGCAGTTTGAAATAGTACAGGCTCCTGTCTTGATGGAAAATGCTATTTATTGTAATGGAAGAAAATTCCGTTTCTTGTCATGTACTGCAAAAGAACTTCATTTCCTCCTGTAGATACTCAGCCAGAAGTGCTCCAGGTCAGGCGTTTTGAGGATGATAATTTTGTTTACCTCTTTTTCTCAAGTTGTGTGCTTACTAGTGTTTGCCTAACATAATATCTTTGCATATTATTGTATCTTATGGTTGCCATATTAGCATCCAGTCAGTCGGTTAACCTAATTGAGGGTAAAAGCCATAGCAAATGTTATCCTCATTTTATTATTTTAAATTTATTTTAAATTTATTGCATCGATGTTCAGTCGACATGCAGTGTTATATTATCCTCATTCTTCTGCACTGAAGGGCTCCCTTTGCCCTTCCAAATTTCCTGCTGGAGAATGCAGGTTTGGACTGCCCCATTCTCTGTTATGTGCAGGTTGCCAGCAGCATTGGTAGAATGAAAGGTTTGGCAAAGAATGCTACTCAGGCATTATGGGATTCAGTTACTTGAAAGTCGTTTTGATCAGCTACCCACCAGTGTCTCCTTCCAGAAACGCGGTGTGTAGTAGTTGGGCAGATTAATACCGATATGTGTGTAACAAAAGGTTCACAGCATCTTAATTTCATGCAACGCTCAGCATTGGGCAAGATAACTTTTTACAAGTTTTAAAGGAGCTTAAGGAAGCTTTTTCCTAGGTACCTTCTTTCCAACTTGTTAGATATCATGTTTACTTAATGAATTCTAATAGCAGGATACATTTTTATCAAATTCGACGTTTTTAGCAAGCGAATCCTATTGCAGATCTCTTTTCCCTATAGAATGATATTCTGTTAACAAACTAGCAATTCCATTAGCAGTTTTCTTGTTAAGATGCCCCCCACCCCCCGCCAACGCTTGCATCCTGAATGAATGTGTGTGCATTGTTCTGAAAAGCAAGGCTTCCTTCCCTCTCTCTCTAGTACCTTTCCTGAAGTACAGTTATTAAGGTATTTACTGAGACCAGCACTTTCTTAAAGGTTGCTAAGTGACACAGCTCCATCCCAGAGGCTCTCACCTTCTCCTCCAGGGACTGGTTAGTCCAACCCTTACCTTGTTAGCAAGTGAGAAGATGTAGTCTGGAAACAAGGCAGTTCTATAAAAGAGAAGGGAAAAGCATTTCATTAGTTAACCAAAAGCACAACC